GCCAAATTTGTGCTCAATGCGTTCTTTGGACATTTTACTTTAAATTCCATCCCTCAAATTCATTCACTTATGATCGGACTCCCAGCTAGGAAGTGATTTGTGAAGCAACTGCAAATGGGGCATTTTGCCCCAACCCCAGGGCAAAACGCCTCACGGCCTGGGGCAAGACGCCCCATACTCTAGATTAAAGATTGAACATGCTAGTTGACTTAATCTTATATGAGAGGCCCGTTAGACCTTGGGAGGCACGGCACTGAAGTTAGCACCTTCCATCCTGTCAGGTGTTCAGCTATGACACTATTGTATGTACAGGTTTTTCACCTGCCTCATAAGGCCAAATAATAAATCATTGCAATGCAAATGTTAACAAAATGCTTCCTTTGTCATTAATTTGCTGAGAAAGGTACATAAAATTGCATAGAAACTTACTGTTCGCCAGCAACCGAACATTAGGAAGTGGGTAGTCGGAACAACACATGAGGTAAAACGCCCCATGGGGCTTTTTGCCCCGCGACCTACTGGGGCGTTTTACCCCATCACGTAGTTTGGTCAGAGAACAACGCCTTGCACTCCAGCAAGGCATAATTTAAAACGGACCAACCCAGCATTATAAGCGTTAGACAATAGTTGTTCAAAATACATAAAAGTCGTTAACCTGATGTGAACCATAAAAGAACGCCATGATGCATAATCTGACTACAAAACATAAAAATCACTCCAAAAACAAATTTTTGGCTATATCTCCCTAAAGAGTTATCACAATATCTTTCCAGTCTGCTCATATAATGATCATATAGTGCACGTTTTAAAGAAGAGAGAATGTTTCCCCAGAACCTTGCCAGTTCCGAGAAACATCGGTGAGGCGTTTTACCTCGGCGGGGCGACTTGCCCCGGTCTACCCTACTTGGTGATCATGGGGGCTCCCCTCTGTCTAATAAGGTCGTACACGGCTCCCCTCCTAGCCCAAGCGGTACACTACACAAGCGGAGCCGGCGGACCATCCCCTTGAGGCAGGACTTTTAGCAGCCATCCCTGAAGTGCTGCGAGACGTGATTGGCTCAGGAGGGTCCCAGTTAAGTTCCAAAGATTGGAGTGTATTTGCAAGGGCCGTGAAGATCAAACGGCGGATCCAGGAAGTCATGCGCGAGATGTAGCAATAAGAAATGCCTGCTCAAAACGTTCAGATTCTTATACAGCGCCACAGTCAAAAATTATTGGTACCTACTGCATGTTTGTCTCTTCGAATTTGTCTTCTAGTTGTACCACATCTCAGCAAACAAACAAGATTTAAAAAGATAAAAAAGATAAAAAAGATAAAAAGATAACAAACAAGATAAAAAAGAAAAGACGCATTAGTGCTGTTGACTGATTTAGTTGACAGACATCGGTCAACGATGAAAGACTGGATTTCCAATGCTCTCAAAAGATCGAGAAGTGCTAGAAATGTTACGCTTAAAGACAAACGGCTTAAAAAGAAGCTATCAAATTAGTATTTATACGTTAGATTTTACACCCTGAAATTCAAGCTATGTCTCTTGGAAGGTGATGTGTACGGCTGACTTAGCGGGTTGAGAATGCGAACCATGTAGCTCTCAGTGCCCGGGGACTTAGTTCGGACTAACGGACCAGCGCTCAGCCTCGGATGTTCGTAGGTGGCGGCATTCGAAGAATGTCATTAGAAGCTGCCGGCTCTCTGGATTGTTTGTAATGTCTAGCCGCCCGTTCCAGCTACTTGTCTAATACATTATAATCACATCATGCTTTTAAGTCCCGTGAAAGGAGCAGATCCGAAATTGGAACTGGTAGCATGTGTGCTCTTTCACGAGAACTGTTTTCAAAAGAGGCCGACGTTCTTGCCCTCCTTGAACTTCTCTGCAAAGTAAACGTTTTATTACCCGGCGAGTTAAAGAGACTGGCGCCTGTACATCAGAGGGATTAAATAAATCTTGCTGTCCAGTGCTACTAAATGCATTTCTTTGCTGTCAGACGTTTAGCTGAATATCTGTTAGGATATCCAGCGACCGCCAAGGCCATGCCACGACGGCGGCGGTTGGCTGAATTCTCTCACCGCAGCGCCGATGCATTCCATCGCTAACAAAATGGGGCGATCGCGAATGTCACAGCCTAAAGAGATGTTATGAAAAGGCACATCAAGCGAGAAAATTACATGACAGACTAGTTCATGTGACAGCCAGAAAGTGTCACCATCAAACTGATATGTTAGTCATGCAGCTTTCCCTTCACCTATCTATTATGCTCTTCACCATTAACCATGCCATGTCTTCCGGAGTTGGTTACAACTACCCTTCACTCGAGGTGGATTGGAACAGCTTCTGCTCTTTTACACAAATATTTAAATCGGCAATAGCAATGTGGAATAGTTCTGCGTTTTTCATACCTTAGAGCAAACGGGAAAAAGGATGGCAGTGAGTACTTAATTCAAATGTAATATTATAACTATCAACTCTTTCCCCATGCAGTCTTTCCCATACTTAGCATGGTCAATGTCTTAATTGGTGTGGTGGAAAGGATCTCCACGACCCGTGAATTTTCAGAATTCAGTCTTGTTTGGCACGATAATTGTGTCACGAGACCGAATGCCATGATAACAATGTTTATAACACATTACTTCAATCAATTCTTCTACCGACATCTTTGTAAACATGGTGTCAGAGAGACATGCATGGATGCTTTTTGTCACCGTCCAGAACAGGACAAGACTGACCAGGCCCGGCCTCTAAGCGGTCCGAGCCTTTGTGCCGTGGATGTGCTCCTTCGAGATGGGTACAAGTGAAAGTTTAAGGGGAATGCCTGGCCGTAGGAGCATTTGTTCCGTTGAACATGCAACATAGATCAATAAATTGTGGCAATAATAATAATAATAATAATAATGTTTATTGCATACCGAAGTCGGTACATATAATGCACAAACAGCACACATACATTACACATCATTCATCAATATACACAAAAAATAACTAATGCAAAACAGCAAGATCCCTAAAACAACTGGTACACGAACCGATCTGCGGCACCATCATTCCCCCTCTGCCGTACAACATTTTCGATGCGCGCAACGAACACATTATTTAGCTCAGAAGGGGAGATGGCGGATAAATCCAAATCATTCAGTTCATACTGCTGACGCAGTCGCAAGTGCGTTTGGGCCGTCAGCCCCGTTTGGCCAGCTGGACTTGCCAACACGGCAGCAACCAGAGTGTTGGGCGAGAGCGAAAGGCGGCGCCAAAATAACATCTGTCTGTATGCCATTTGCATTGGACAAGTCAACATTCCAAGGTCATGGCAGAGTTCGTGATTACGCGCCCACTTCGGAACCTTGAGAAGCCTTTTCAAGCAGTTGTGGTACGCAACGCACAGCTCGCGAGCTGCTTTCTGAACACGATACGCTACCCAAAGCTCGCATCCATACAGGCTGGCACAATGTGTTTTAAAGAGATTCGTTAGAACATCTCTCTTTGCGAAGCCAACAGTTGCTAACAACATGTTCACATTGCTGTACAGAGTGCGTTTGGCCCTACACATATCGTCAGTATCACGCAAGTCTTCTCTGATCACATGACCGAGGTACTTAAAGCACGGCACCCATTTCAGTTGCAGCCCTGTGAGTAGTATTTGGGGTGGCCTAGAATCAGTGAGATGTGATGCTGAGTACGGTCTTTTGGGCAGAAATTGCATGCACACTGATTTATCTGGATTAAATTCCATATCCAGCAGTTGCGCTTGCCTTTCACATTCATTGACAAGTGAATGACAATAAAGCAATAACAATAAAGTGACAATAAAGCACATCGTTCATGGCGCGTATATGTAGTGCGTGAGCTGGCGCAAAAGGCATGTTCAGACGCATCACTTCACTCCACCCTAAACCACGCGTCAGAGCATTATACTGCGAGTCAATGTGGTTCAATATCGCGTATCTACAGAATCTATTTAGCAATTGAACGTTGAAACATTACAGAAATAAAGATGAGCAATCGCTGCGTTTAGTAAAACTGCTAGGTTTGCTAAGGTAATCGTTGTGTTTTTCTATGAACGTCACTGCGTTGTCTCACCTATATACTGTCCTCGATGCAATAAAATACTTCTGTAGTTTCCAAAAGCAAAGCCTAACAATAAATTAGCAACGCTCACCAGCCAGATTACACGTAGGCACAGCTGGAGCCAAGATACTGGCCGACCACAAATATCTCCTTTCGAAGCCCATCAGAGCTAAAAATCTGGTTGAGAACACTTTCGATTAACACTTTTAGAGTCGAATGTGAAATGTGAATGCAATGCAAATGCGAAAACTGAAAATGAAAGAAATGTGAGAAACATATTCGGCATTTTTAGTACTTAGTCGTCGACGGATATTCGGGTGTATAGTTTCCAAGCCCATGAGAGGTTGCTGTGCTCCAATTTCTTGATGTCGGTATATGCGGCGCTGCATTTGTCTGTTGCTGCTGCTGAGGTGATGTACTTTTTAGCGACTTTCTTTTGTGGATCCAGGCCGCTTTCCACGAGTAATGGGCAAATTATTCGGGGAGACGTGGTAGAAGGAAACAAAACTATCGTCACCAGCGCGCTTTCGAGCTTGTTGGAGAGCTCGTGCGCAATTTGCATTGTGGAATAAATGCTAATTATCTTATGAAAGGGCGACATGGCATGCATGCGAGGACTAGTAGTGAGGAACATGCTGATTGCCGAATACGCACGAAATAGTGACGTTCACTGATCAGCATAGTCGGCAAAATCATTTTGGTACCACTGCGAGGAACCGTTCCTCACAGTTTACATATACGGGGATCGAGTGACAAATGTATGCTCGGGCTCTTATGACCTTGGTACGAGAGAGAAGAGAGAGAGAGAGAGAGAGAGAGAGAGAGAGAGAGAGAGAGAGAGAGAGAGAGAGAGAGAGAGAGAGAGAGAGAGAGAGAGAGAGAGAGAGAGAGAGAGAGAGAGAGAGAGAAGATTGTCAGGTAATAACTGGTAAGACTCACCTGCGGGGCTGCTGAAGCCACTCGAAGAATCGCCGCCATCATCACCAACATCACTGCCGGCATGGTCATCCCACAGCGGCGGCGCGCGCCCGCCGAGTGCGTCCCTCTGGGTCTCATACTGGTCACCGGACTGGGTCCTCAATGACCCGAGCAGGTGTCAGAAGTCCCAGCTCTTTGCCGAGGGCACAGCGAGAGGCGCGACGAGTCGCCAAACTGAAGAGAAGGTGGGCACAGAGCCGACGCAGTCGTCCGTCCCGACAGTCAGAGAACTATCGGCGATCAGCGGGTGGCTGCAACGCCAGCTGGGTAGCAACGGCGGCAGCAGCAGCAAAATCCTCAATAATGGGGCCGCAGATGGCGATCACGTCTACGGCAAAGTAACGTCCAAGTTCGCGGCAAAGTCACGGCCGCGTCCGCGGCAAAGTCACGGCCGCGTCCGCGGCAAACTCACGTCCAAGTTCACGGCAAAGTTACGGCCGCGTCCGCGCGAAAGTCGTCCGCGCGAAAACCAAATCGCGTCCACGTCTACGCAAGAAGTCTCCCGTCGCCACGAGTTGAGCGAGCGCCACCTCCGCGACCAACCGCTCGCGCTGCCCTCGCCCGACTGAGTCCGAGAGCGCGAGCGTCCGAGGGTGGGCAGCCAGCGGCGTGCACTGAGACTGACTGACGGGCGCGGGTGCTCGGCTGCGGGTGCCACTACCGGCGGCAGGGCGCCACTCGACCGACTGACCACTGGGCGCCGGCCGACCGACACCGAGGCGGGGGCGCCCGGCGAGCCACCTGGCCGGCAGCGCGAGCGCGAGCGGCCGCCCGCCGTCCCGACTGTTTACACCGCCCGCCGCTAGGGTCCGAGTCGCTAAAACACAGACGCGCTGGCAGCGAGGAGGATCGCCTATCCCTGCCAGCGTTCTGAGGATGGGGCACAGGGTAGGGAAAGAGGACCGACGGAGGATAGAAAACGGTGACCTAGTGAACGGAGTAAACTGGTGTTGAACGGATGACGCAAGACACCGCGCAGAAAAGTATGACAAGGGATTTCATAGATGACGTCGCAGTCGACAGACGTTCCTCCGATCCGTCGTTTCCATCCTCAGGATATTCAAATCCTTCTCCTCCACGCCGCAACTCTCAATTCGGGCTGGACACTGGACAGGCACCTTTATCTCATGCGGGCTGCTCACTTGGAGCGGCACCGTTGCTCCCGAGGGAGCGCACCCGTAGTCACTGAAATGCAGTGAGTACTTGGGGGGGGGGGAGGGGGCTGGTCGGCCTGTCCTTCGGGACGGGCTCAGCCCCGGTGACTCACTAGGGTGCCTGCCCAGACCAATGTCTCCCCCTAAGTCCTATCATCCTTCTGGCTCTGAAATGGTCTTGTCAGACCGAAATGGCCTAAACCCAACAAAAAAAGACGTGACTCGACCCCGGAAAGGTCGGGTCACGTCTTGATCCCAAGAGACCCGATCCCGACCCTGGACAGATCGGGTGACACGAGTGAACGTGAGACCACCTGTGGCGAGCGCAAAAATGGAAGTAAGCGTTAAAAAGGATATGTATGTTAACGAACATAGATGCATCCACAAGGATGGCTGAATTCGTAGTAGCTCGTCTTACTTGTTAAATGTAGGGCCAAGCTGCCCTCCCCTATATTCCCCTCCCATTTCCCCCTCAACATCCCCTCTAGGGGGGGGGAGGGCGATAGAGTTGAAAGTGGTAACTTGGGTGGATCCCTTGCAGAAGGACGTGCTTTTCCTGAATTCTGCTGGTGTAACTGCTGTGGAATATCCTTAAAGGTTGGATAGCCTGTTCCTAATCATTTGTTTTAAGAGTAATATTACTCTTAAAACAAATATTATAAAAAAGATAAAAAGATATCTTTTTTTCGTGGAAAATTAATCAACTTCGGTGTAGATTTGTTGCATCAAGATAGGCGTTGTTTTATTTCTCCTACTTGCAGAAGCAGGTGACTAAATGAGACAAAGATATAAGCAAATAGATTATTTGTTTTGAGAAAAAAAAACTTTTGTTTAGAAGTGCTACAAACCATTCCGTTATTGGAACCCTTTTATAGAGTTTTAACGTTTAAAAGAACATAGTTAACACAAACGGTGAATACGCTAAGGCTTCTTGTTTCCTTTCACTTTATAAAACATTTCCCACCAAACCGCAACCACGTTTCATGCTGGACTATCGTTGACAAAGTTTTGACACTATGGCACACGACCTTGGGGCGATAAGCTGTCATCTAAAGAAATTTTTAATGTTTATGCAAACATTGCAACCGTGCATCTTATGTTCGTGTCGCACTACGCCACATAAACATTCGTTCACAGGTTACCGTTTGAACAACTTCCACATATAGGCACCGCTTGCTATCCTAGGTTTCAACAAAAAATAAGCATCTCTTTCATCAGCTTACAGCAACATATGATGTGTATTGTGTTGATTAGAGCATCAAAGGCATAAATAAAGGTCCGTACTTATCATTGTATGCAATGCATGTCTTGAGTTGTGAAAACGTTTTTTTAACACATTATCGAAAATATGCCTACGGTGATATTGCTAGTGCATCGACAATCGTCTTTGCTTTGGACTGATTGAAAATGAAATAGTTCATAGCTTTTCATAATCCATTACATTGAAATAATCATTGAACACTGAACATGTTAATTGCAGACACTTCTGGCTGCCTTCCCGTTAGTGAGTTTGTTTTCTCATTCCTCAGAAGTTTTTTCTCATTCCTCTTGCACCTGAAAGAGAAGACAGGACGCCGCCGAACTAGCACCTGGTTGTTGCAAAAGTAATTGACTGTTTTTCCCTTACCTGACTTCCAATCACTAGCTGCCAGTCACCATCCATGCATGACTACCTATTTATTTGATCAAGTGTATAGTTCGCTGGTGGGAGTCCCCTGTCGCTCCAGTTTTACATGTCGCCCAGAACGTACGTGGGCGCCAAACACGGCTACCTTTGTGACGACGTGTAGAAACCACCGTGTATAGGTGTCGCAGCGCCTCAGACACATCCGTGTCCTGTCAGCTCGGTGTCATGTGGCGGCGGTTCACCATAAAATGTGTTCTACAACCGACCAATTAGGCCCATTTGGCTGAGTTGATGACGTGCGGCTGCTGACGCCCGGTCGGAGCGGGTGATTTCAGTGACGCGTCACCGCCGACCTCAGTGACTCGTCACCGCCGGCCTTCCCCGGGTTCCACTCAGTCGACAATGAATGGAGACGCCCCAGTGGTGGCCGCAGGTCCCCTCAGCGCGCTGCCCGGCGGACCGGCCGACCGCCCAGCCCAGTTCGCGGCCAGAGAGAGGGTCTGCGGTCTCTCACCGCAGCCAAGACCGTCTGGAATGTGACGGCTGTTTGGTGGCGGCGCCGATGTGCTTGCTATCCTCTCGGCTTGATTCCCGGCTGTTATGAACGCGGCGTTGTTTCCAGATCTGTAAGCAGAATCTGAACTGAAAGACGGCTAGGGTCACTGTTAGTTATTTCTTGAAGTGGCATATCGAATCAAGGGAAAATCTCAGTGTGAGCGGCTCGGCCTGGCCCGTAACGCTTTTGAGATTTTGAGATTATGATATAACAACAGCCGCTGGGCTGATTAATTAGCTTTTTTGGGGGCAGCCCTATCCCTTTTTAATTGGTTATTGCCTAAGCTGAAACATTATCTTTGTCTCTTACCTACTCCCAAATGTAATTTGAAAGGAAAGATAGATGCTTCAGCCTTAAGCTGACACCCGCAATGAGAGAAATAACTTACTTTTTTGAAGTATTGAATTAATATTTACCCCTGCGGCGCCCGAAATCACCGAAAATGTACGTTTTTTTTAGAGTAAAAAGAAGGCCAGACAACTTTTATCAGGAAAAGTTCGTTTTAACAGAGCAATGGGTAATGAATCGAAATCCTATTAGTTTTAGGAATTTGGAGAAACTTTTTTGGGGGTATGCCCCCGCAGGGTCCACGACCGCCTTGCTGGATCCACCAGTGAGGTTACATATAGAATTGACACGCATCTCTCAAGTTGTATAGGAAAAATGTACAAATGGATCGTTATCCAAAACCGAGCATTCATTCACCGTGCAAGTGCACACGCATTGTCACCTGTAAGCTCAGGAAACGGAAGTTGTTACTAAGCCGTGTAGCATTTAGGCGATTAGCTCTGCCGTCCAACATTTCCTTCAGGGGGTTACCGCCGAGCTACTAGACACTTGTCGCCGCCTGGTCGTGGAAAGGGTAAATACCGGGCTGTCCTACTACAATGGCTTGTAGTTGGTACACCACGGACATAAAAAGTCGGATAGACCGCAGCATTTCGGAAGTTCTATACCGCTCAGATTAGGAAAAATTTTGGTACCTAACTTCTTTAAAAGAACTTCAAACAGATCTTACGCTGGGCTTTCGGCATGGTAGACATTTCATGTGCATACCCGTGCATCTGGAGTCAAGTATAACGTTAAAAAATCATGACATTGTATATCAGACGACTGTGCCAGCCACGAACTGTGCCGGACGGAACATAATCCCCTGCATACCTCGAACTTCACGCAAACAGCATGCAGCCGGCAATCTATGCACACAGTCCTCTGGTATGCACATTACCGACAATGGCGCGTGTCGGAAGTACAAAGCTGGTGCTTTTCAGGCGAAATTTTAGCGCAATCAGCATAGTTCCTTAAAGGAAATAGTTCACTTTCACGAAATTATTTTTTTTGCAATGGATTTGTGATTTTTTATGTTCAAAATGATCAGCAAAGAAAGTAAAACCTTTTTATAACAAAATATTATTTTCTATATTTTTGATATAGGAAGGACTTTTCAGTTTCTGTAAGGCACACGCGATCCAGTATGAAAAGAGCATGGGTCCCGAAAATTCTTCAGAAACTAGAGAAATTATCGCGGCCACCGGCATTTGGGCGATCTGCTCGTGCTTTTGTTACTGGAGATGCTGGAGCGCCTCACTGGAGCGAATTTCTCTAGAGTTCTCGTAGATAATTTCTCTAGTTTCTGAAGAATTTTCGGGACCCATGCTCGTTTCATACTGGATGCGAATATATGCAAGGCACACATCCTCAACGCAAGACACATTTTTCGGGACGAGAAATAGAATATCTTTGCCTAGGGTGATCGTTGGGCTGTAAAAGCTCCTGATTTATGCTCGTCTCAGCCCAAGCTACGGAACTGCTATTCCAGTTCAAAACCCATGTTAAAATGTGAACTATTTCCTTTAAGTCAATGCCTCTTCCACTTAAAAACAACTATAAGGTGATTTTGTTTGCATTAACTTGCGAGCTTGCCGGATGTGCTTGCTAGGACAGCCAGCCTGCTTTCAACCGTTGTCGAATTTCCGAAAGAGGTGATGGGTGATGACAACTCTTTCGTAGATCCAAGAAGTAATTAGTCAAAACACATCGCTTCCCCCACAAAATATCCCAAGCTTTCCTGAAACTTCGGGGTAATGTGTTGGGAGGCATAGGCACACACGTTTAAAAGAATAATGGTCCTGTGCGTGACCATTGGGCACTGAATCGTTTTTCTCAACGAAACCGATTCGAGGTGAATTGGTCAATAGGGTAATCAACTAAAAGAATGTGCTTCACTCAGAAAACTGTCAGTATCAGTGACTAGTCAGTGATCGAGAAAGTGAGTGTATAAGCGAGTGTAAGCTCGCACACACATAAGCTCGCACACTCAGTGTAAGAGGGAATCTGAGTGTAAGTGAGTGTAGGCGAAGAGGGCTGAGAGTGAGCAAGTGTAAGTGAGT